TTTGGGAATTTAAAAAAACCCTGTGGGAAACTCTTTTCTCTATTTTTTGTTCGTTTCTTCTCTGTGACCAGTAAGTTGCATTCATGTGGTCTATGAAATGTACATACGGAGCATGTGCATTTCCTATAACTACTAGAATATTACTTTATCTGACATGTTATGCTAATAGATAACTTTTCTAACTAATCTAGGTCACTCTACATGGACAGCAACTAACGGCATACCACATTACACATTATATGTCTGCAAAAAATGATATGCAATATGTGAATTAATAAAAAGTTTTATTACCATGGACCAAATGTTCCTTTTTGTCCGCCAGTTTTCTGTGAAAATGACATCAATTTCAGTCAAGTCGACAACTGTTCCAAAATTATCTCTGAGTTGTTTTTCCGACATGAGCGGGCGTTCATGTGTATTTTCCCAGTCGGAAAGTCATTTTTCCGACACCACATGAATGCAACTTAATGGTCACAGAGAAGAAACGAACAAAAAGTAGAGAAAGGAGTTTCCCACAGGGTTTTTTAAATTCCCAAATTAAATCAGATAACGGATAACGATTGGTTTTCCGTTATTCTTTTCTTTATTATCAAATAAAAAACGTTTGGTCATTTCAAAACAAAAAACGGATAATGGTTGTTTTTCCGTGTTTCAGTTTGTTATTTCGAAACGAATGGCCGCGAAGTACACGGGCCGTCCTCCCCTCTCTTTCTCCCCCCTTCACGCTCAATCTGTCCTATCAAATAAAGGCAAAAGCCAGAAAAATAATCTTTAAAAGAAAATAAAAGTGTCTGTGTCTGCACTCCTGATAAAGGGAAATCCTTATTTGTGTTTAACCCCTTACTTTTGATCAACCCATATTAATTTCAGGCTTAAAATAACAATGTCAGATTAGGCCACACCCACTTCCAATTTAAACCCCACCCATGTCTGACCCAGACTTCTCATTTCGAGTAAAGATACAGATGATTTTGTGGCTTAAAGCGACACAGACACATACAGATAATCGGGTATTCGCTAGTCCCTATCATTTACCTTCATTTCCTGAATCAACTAACATCAGTGCTAATTATTCCCAGCAAGTCGACACTGGCCCCGTGTCAGCGTGGGTTTCCTCCAGGTTAGAGATGCACCGATCCTGCTTTTTCAGTTTTGATACCGATCCCGATGCTGTGGCTTTGAGTATCGACTGGTACCCAATACCGGTCCGATACCATGGTTGACCTAAAGAGCTATAGACCTTTACATGTAGAACAGAAAAGACTAGAGGCATCAGGCATTGATGACTACAGATACTGCAGATTCTCTCCTTCGCTCCATGACGTAGCTCGTGTAAAGGACAAAGGATCACCTCAGGTATAGGTTGCATTTTCCGATACCCGATCCATCGATTTTGATGATACCGGGGCCGATATTAGATCCAGATATCGGATCGGTGCATCCCTACTCCAGGTGCTCCAGCTTCCTCCCACAGTCCAAAGACATGCAGGTTAACTGGTGACTCTAAATTGTCCGTAGGTGTGAATGTGAGTGTGAATGGTTGTCTGTCTCTATGTGTCAGCCCTGTGATAGTCTGGTGACCTGTCCAGGGTGAACCCCGCCTGTTGCTCAGTGTCAGCTGGGATAAGCTCCACCCCCCTTGCCAGCCCTAACAGGATAAGCGGTTACAGGTAATGAACACTTAATGGTCCACACAGAATCATGAAGAACGAACATGACATTACTGATGCCAGCTGGAAAAAATGATACCGAAGATAATTTTGTTTGCGAACAAAACTAGGCGGTGGTCCACAAAAAAATTGCGGCATGTAAAACAGGCAGGTCAAAGATTCACACACGGAGAGGCAGCAACTTCAAACTTTTTTCAGCATGTGACAGTGCTGAAAGAACGGGAGAAGATGAGGCTATGAACAGAACGACATATGACTTGTTTAGGACTCAAACTTAGAGTTCAGGACTTGGGAACTGACTTTGCGATTGTGAGCCTTTACTGTCTTGACTTGAGACTTACTTGTGACTTGCTTAACAATGACTTGGTCCCACCTTGGCTCTCTTCCCTGTCTGTGGTGAATGTACCTGCTGCAGCTCTCCTCCCTGACTCAGAGTGGAGTCGACCTTCTTTGACCTCAGTACGCTGAGCTGTTACCGACACCTGCAGAGTGTTTGAGGTCAAGACGTTCGTCTGACTGGCTCCATTCAGTTCACTTCAAAGCTGCAGCAGCTGGCACACCACTAATCCTCCGGCCAAACACACACAGAAACAGAAACAGATCAGCGTCTCTGCAGCCGAGGCTGAAGTGAGCTCTCACAACAAATAGCTGCTCAGTCAGGAACTGTACGGCAGCACCAGAGGAGGTCCTCATGAGTCTGAGGTGTCGACTCATGTCATCTAGTCTCGAGTGCAGACAAAATCAGACTTAATCTGACTAAATAAAGAGCGACTTATCGAGACAAAAATGTGAATGACCTGAAACAACCTCAGATTGCAGCGGTGTGTTCAGAGAAAGAGCAGGAACATTACCTCACCGACTGGTTACACAAACATGTACAGTCAGGGTCGGATTATTCATGTTCAGTGTTAAGTTTATTGATAAAGCGCCCCAATTACCAGGATAAACGTTGAAAAAATCCCCCACATGAACCTGCACACTTTCTGTCCAGGCCTGAGCCACTGCAGCAGTTTTGGTCCTGAGCCTGGGAGGCAGATGCAAACACTGCCGACTCGTCACCTTCAGGCCCCGCCTCCATTTCTCCTGCTTTCCGTCCCTCTCTCGTGCTCTCTCAGTTCAATAGGCTGACATTTGGAATGTGTTGCCAAAGCACAATTACATTTAAAGGACAGTGAATGAAATCAACAACTGATCACATGAAGAACTCTACCTCTCTCTCCTGGTTCTCCACCATATTGCTTCATTGTTCCATCACTTTCCCTCTTGTCAGTCGCAGTCTGGGGCAGGTAGGGTTGGAGAAGCTGAGCTCTAAACCATGGATACGTTACACATTAAATGTTATTATAAAGCCCATTTTGTCCATCCGTCCATCTGTCTGTCCCATTCTTGTGAGCATGATATCACAAGAAATTTCTTTAAATTTGGCACAAACATCCAGTTTAAGTCAAGGATGAACTCAACAGATTTCAGTGGTAAAGGTCAAAGGTCAACATGACCTCGTCTGTACTATTCCTGAGAATGTGATATCTCAAGATCACATTGAGGGAATGTCTTCAAATTTGGCACAAATGTCTAGCCTGGAAATCCAGACTCAAATCTAGAAAGATTTTGAGTCTGGCCCTCACCGATACACCCTTCCTACCCGAGGGGCGGCACTAACTGAGGCATATTAAATGCTGTCGCACGCCATTGGATAGCACAATAGCCAATCAGAGCAAAAAACAAGTAGACGTATTCATTGCACTAAGCTCCGTTTGTTTGCCAACCAGCGGGGCTAACTGATATATTATGCTTTTGCTGTATCCTGTCGGCAAAACGGCAACAACGTCCTTCCTGGACGCGAAGGCTTCTAGGGCAGTCTTCTGTTCCTCTCTCAAGGAAAAAGATAAGTGTAGTTGGCTTAGCGTTTCTTCCAAAGCTAAATTGAATGGACGCGGTCCTTCAGCAGCTGCCATCTTGGCTGTTTACTTTTAGACTCCTACGGCGCAGCGCTGTCTTCATCATTTGCTGGGGGCGGGGCATCTGGATTTCCAGGTTAACAAACGTCTACTTATACTCAAGAATGAACTGAGTAGATTTTGGTGGTCAAAGGTCAGTGTGACCTGACAAAACTTGTTTTTATGCTTCCGCCCCGTTGACAGCCGTGGCCGGAAATATCTCAAGAATGCCTTGAGGGAAATTCTTCAAATTTGGCAAAACGTCCACATAGACTGAAGAATGAACTGATTGGAGTTTTGTGGTCTAACGTCAAAGGTCAGTGTGACCTCATAAAACATGTCTTTGGCCATAACTCAAGAATTCATTGGCTAATTATGACAACATTTCACACAAATGTCTAACAGGATAAAATAATGAAGGTCAAAGGTCAGCTTGACTGTGACATCATCATGTTTTAACGTCATATCTCAGGAACAGAAGGGGAGACATTTGGTCAGAAACTGAATTGGTGACTCTAATCTTGAAACTGTGCTGATTGTATAGATCTTCTGTGTGTGAAGCATCCATGTTTTCACTGACATGGATGGAGACTGTCAGAGACACTTGGCCGGTTCACGACGGCGCACAACCACGAGGCGGTAATTCTAGTTTAACCGTGACTCCCTGGTTGCCTGTGATTGGTCAGAGTCTTCAGTGTAAACAAACATAGCTTTGTGTAATAGTACATTAACGTCTCAGTGTCTCGTCCCATGTGTCACATGTTTTGGACACCGCTGTGCACAGATGGAGGAGAGCGCCTCCTTTCTGGTCCCAGCAGGTCCGAGCAGGAGGGGCCGACTCAAAAATGACCAGTGAGATGAGATAAGAAAGATGTTGCAGCACAGCTGGAGTGAAGCCAAAATGAGGTTATGTAAGGTGACAGCGGCGGTTACACATGGACTGTTACAACTGTCTCAGTAAACATCCTGATATCCCTCCCTGCTTACACTCCGTATCTTCTGAGGCTTTGAGTCATTTCCTTTGTTTTATAAGCATCAACAGAGCGTCTGCAGCTGCTCGTAGACTTACACTTCATATACTGATCCACACATCTGGATTGGGTCTAACACAGCAGCCACAGTTTGAGTCCCATCACAGCACACTGCACCACACACACTCGTCATGTTTCAGATAACAGATGACACTTGATTTTATTAAACCAAAACAAGAATGGTTTTCTCTGTTACTCAGGTCAAAGTCCACATCAGTTTTATTTTCAGTAACTCAGTAACTCTGCTGCTGCTGAGCCAAATCCATTCGACTGTGGGTGTGAAGTGGGATTGCTTTGTGTGTGTGTGTGTGTGTGTGTGTGTGTGTGATGCAGTTCACTAACAGTGTGTTTCCCCCCTTCAGCTCAGCAGAATCCTGACAGTCTTCGTTACAAGTACAACTTCATCGCAGACGTGGTGGAGAAGATCGCACCTGCTGTCGTTCATATTGAACTGTACCGCAAGTAAGAAAGAGCCCGTTTACACCTGGTGTTAAAATGTGTCTCAGGTGATCTGATCACTGAGACCACTTGCCGAGGTGTTCTGTGACGTCTTTTGTAGTGCAAACATGAATGATCCCACATCAGTACGTCATCAGTGCAGCGTCCTCATATGGAGACAAGCGTGTAAGGCTGTGTTCACACCGAATAAAAAAAATTGCATGATAGATGCAATGGACACAACAGGTGAATTAAGCAGTGCAAATAAAGCGAGTAGTGTGATTCATGCCGTGATAGCCAATCAGCATTGAGATCCTACGGGGACGTGTGTAGGAATGCAGCGGACATTCGGTAACCGAATATATTCGGCCGAATATTGCAAAAAAACACACATTCAGTGTTCAGTGGAATAAGTGAAAAGCAAGGCCGAATAATAGCGGCGTGTTTTGGTACGGCCATCAAACAGCGTGCAGTGACAGACGGAATAAAGTGTCGGCAGTGTGGCGATATTTTACTCCGTCCGTCACCGCACTCGCATTTATGACTAAAAATAGTTTTGTGTGAGCAAAATAAATCATTCAGCACGCTGTGTGAGTACAGATTTCAACCAGCAGCAGAAACGAAAGGTGAATCCCGCCGGTTGTGGGTTGAACGGGGGTCACAGACACAGACAGGAATGTATTCCTGTCAAATACGGCGGCCATAGTGCTTCGCGGCACAAGATAAGGCTTACCGGCGACGGAGAAGTCCGGCTCCAATAATGTCCTCTTCTTGGCATCATGACTGCCCAAAAGTACCTGGACAGCCGAGCCGTGGCGGCACACAGGTATGTGACGTGTCAGAGGAGAAACGAGCCGTTCACATTTCTCTTTGTGGCAGGTAACGCTCCACAAACCTCACCGCACTGAAGGGACTGTTCTTTACTTATGAAGGGACTGTTCTTTACTTGTCAGGGGAGGAGGGTGGCTGGTTGATTTTTATTTTATTTATGCGAAATGCATTTGAATTGCAGTTAATTATTTCTCATAGACAACACTGTAAAAATTATACTGACAAAAAAATAACAGTGATTAAACAAGGCTTATAGAAATGGATTTAAACTTGGGCCAATGAAAAACTAAACAACAGTACTCGGTATTCTGCCAAGTGTTTAATTTTATTCTGCTTCAGCTTCGGCCACAAATTTTCATTTCGATGCATCACTAGACGTGTGACACTGAGGACGTACCAGCGGAAGTTCATTCATTGGTTCAGCGATTTCACACCTGGATGATGCGAGTTACCTGCGCTTCACTGAATGGATTAAAAAATGTCCCTAATTCTATTTTTCTGGACCTGGAAGAAAAAGGATGTGCCCCCGCTCTTTGGACCATGCCGTTTATAAATAATGTAATGCCACTGCAGGGAAGGAAAGATCATTTTGTTGATAGAAATACTCTTAAAATGTGGAATCAAGTACATAAGCATTTTGGGGCTATGAATCAGTGTTCTGTTTCAGCACCTATAATCCTGATTTTGCACCGTCTTGTTCAGATGTGGGTTTTAAAGCGTGGAAAGATGATAGTGTTTCTAAGATACAAGGACTCTTAAATCTTTTTCTTTACCAACAGTAAAACATGCTGGAGTGAAGATTTTGGGTCCCATGTGGATGATGAGATGTGGAGAAAAATTCCATGTTCTAACAAATCTTATGAGACCCAAGATTACTCAGTACACACTGCATGTAACGCCAGCTGTTCAATGTAAAAACCCCTCTGTTGTGGCACTTATAATCATCTCATGTGATCGTGCCCTAAAATTCTCAGTTTCTGGCGGTCAGTCCAAAGAGATTAAGAAAATATTTGGGAATGATAGCCCTCTAAAGCCACATCATTTTGTTCTGGGATCAGATTCCAGCTACAGACACATTCTTAGAATATCTTTGTACGCTGCACACATCACAGTCTTATAAAAGTGGTTGGATGAAGAGCCTCCGACGTTACGATGTGGTGTGTTAAACTTGTGTCCATGTTGCCATTGGAGAGATTATCACGTGCTGAGAGGGACTCTGGAGACCGAGCCCCAGTATCAGTAAACCTGAAGGAAGAGTGGTCAAGAAGAGTCACGTATATATGGGGAGATCAAACATAACAGCATAAGTATATAAAAGACGACATTAGATTTGTCTTAACTGTGGATTTTTGTATTGTATCACCCTACTATTGTTTAAAAACATAAAAAGTACTAAGTTTAAATTATTATTATTTACCTGGTAACACACCTGCAGTCAGACTTATCAAACACACCTGTCGGCCAGTGAAGCAAGACGCACGTTCTGTTTAACATTAACTCATGTGATTGAGTTTGATTGGTCGATGTCTGAGGAATCAGTCACGAACATGTTCTGTCTCTTCCTCTCTCTGCTCAGGATGATATTCTCAAAGCGAGAGGTGGCGGTCGCCAGCGGCTCTGGGTTTGTTGTGTCAGAGGACGGACTCATTGTCACCAATGCTCACGTGGTCGCCAACAAGCACAGAGTAAAGGTACGCAAAGCAGCTGTGGAGATGGTGCATACACCATTAAAAGCTTCTAAACACAATCTGACACGTTCCAGCAGGAATCTGATTTGAAATGAACACCAGCAACAAGGCGACATGTTTCCCTGATGTTAGCATGTAGCTACATGTAGCAGTGTATGTCATGTAAACACTTGCAGTAGCATGCCTGGAGAAGATGACCACATAAAGAAATTTATCACCAGCTGACGTCAGCTGGTCTCGTTGGAAACAGAGGCTTCAGACCACTCTCTCAGACTCACTGTTACACACGTTCACATCGTTGAAAATTTGGACGTTTAATATGAACATCTGACACTGTAGCTTTTTATATATATGACAGAAAATAAGGAAAAGCATCACAGGTCCCGTTTAATATATAACTGATAAATAAGCAGAGTTTTTCAGGGGCACAGGCAGCAAGACTGAGTCAGTAGCATTTTGTGTCCTCCAGGTGGAGCTGAAGAGCGGAGCCACATTCGACGCCAAGATCAAAGATGTGGACGAGAAGGCCGACATCGCTCTGATCAAGATCGATGCACCGGTGAGTAAACAGAGATGAGTCGATGCTCCTTATTCCTGTTTTTCTATTCCTGACCAAACTGCCTTCAAACTGTGACATTTCAAATTCAGCACTATGCCGTCAACCTCTCACACTGGATGATTATCCCCCGATGATTCTGTAGCTTCTACAAAGTCAGCAGACATGTTTGTAGCTGTGGAGGCGGAGCCTGTGTGGAGGACAGATCAGGTGCTGACAGATTTTTGGGAGCGATAAATCTCACTTGATTTAATTTATTTGCCTATTCATGCGTCGCCCAAAAATCTGAGCCAAAACTTTTATAATTGTGACAAAAGTTGTGGGAGTCATGCATCTTAATCAGAAAGAAAATAAAGTTACGTAGGTTAGGTTCAGAAAAAGAAACATGTTTGGCATCATCATGTTAGGCACGTCACATTAAGTTATGTACCCAACATACGTTGAGTGTAGTCACGTTACGGATTTCACGTTAAGTTACGTAGGTTCTCACTCTGAAGTCGTCAAAAACCGGAGCTTGATCAGTGACTCCCTGCGTCTGACACTGACGAGGAAAGCCATCCTTTCACGTCAGCATGACACACGGCCGGACGCTGTGATAGTTTCATGGCGACCGGCAGCATAAACGGGAAACGTGGCGAGATGAGGACGAAAGTTAAAGGGAAAGTGCACCCAAAAATGAAAATTCAGCCATTATCTACTCACCCATATGCCGAGGGAGGCTCAGGTGAAGTTTTAGAGTCCTCACATCACTTGCGAAGATCGGCGGGGGGAGCAGCTAGCACACCTAATGACAGACGGCGCCCCAGACTAAGGTCCAAGAACACAAAATTGAAACCACAAAGTATCTCCATACTGCTCGTCCGTAGTGATCCAAGTGTCCTGAAGCCCCGACATAAAAAGTTGTTTGGAAAAACGTCATTTGAACTCTGTTTTTAGCCTCATTGTAGCCTGTAGTTCTGACTGCTTCTCTGTGCTCCGCGCTCACGTGTGCGCGCTCAGGGTGATCGGTGATGCACGGTCTCTGAAGAGCAGCAGCAGTATGGAGATATTTTGTGGTTTCAATTATGTGTTCTTGGACGTTAGTCTGGGGCGCCGTCTGTCATTAGGTGTGCTAGCCGCTGCCCCCACCGATCTCCACAAGTGATGTGAGGACTCTAAAACTTCACCTGAGCCTCCCTCGGCATATGGGTGAGTAGATAATGGCTGAATTTTCATTTTTGGGTGCACTATCACTTTAAGGTGCAGAAAGTCCGGGTAGGGTGGATGGGAGTAGTGGTGGATGGGTCCAATTGCTCTTTAAACTACTTCCTTCTTTAGTCCCGTCAGCATGTTGGTCACATGACCACAGCCTTCAGCCTGAACACTGCAGGGACGAGCGCATAAACGTTTAGGTTTGACAAAAGATGCTTTCATGTGAAGCAAACGAACAAATCACAAGACTCCACTGATGATGTATTTCATGACTTGTTTACAGTTTAGCATTCACACCGAGGCTTTTATAGGTGATTGAAGACGTCCTCCAACGCGTACAACCTGCCTCATCCCATCTTCTTCTTCGTCTGTTTTATGGCGGTTTGCATACATCAGTGCTGGACCGTCCCTGCACCATCTGTTTCAGCATTTTTATAGCGTGTGTGAAAAGGCAAGATATGGGAATGTTCCTGAATGTAGAGAAGTGACTGGCGATGCCTTAAGGTTATCCCAGTAATCTACTGGGAGCTGTGTGTGTGAGGCTTCTGTCTGCCTCTGTTTTAGGTTACAGCTTTCTAGAGACTTCCTCTCTTGGTGTCCTCTCGTGCTCTCTCCTCAACTCTCAGACAGACGTGGTTTTTTCCTAACTTCTCCCCACAAATTCAGGTATTTGTTCTCTTTAGGAAAGTATGCTTTTCATGAGCATTCCCAAAAAGGAAAGACTGTTTTTTATTTCAGTTGGTGGAATCGCAGCACAATAATATCATGACTCATGGAAGTGGATATCTGTGGAGGAGGTGAGGAGACAGAGGGAACGTTTCCATGTGGATTCATTTGGGTTTTCTTTTGCTTTGTTTTGGTCCAGCAATGACTGGACAGCCGGGTCCGGTACAGGAAGTGAGATTTTCCACAACATGCGTGCAATGGAAAAAAAAACATTTTTAGCATCAGAAGGTCAGTGTGTGTGTCATTTTTCGTACCGACGCTGGGCAGTCAGAGCTGCAACATCCTGCACAAGGTCACTTTAAGAAGAATGTCGTCCACTTTCCTGGACAAAAACACATATTCTGGTGCCAGATTGACTCACTAGGACAAAGTGCTCAGTATATCATCCCTCTGTGTTTCATTCCAAACTGCCTGAGGAGTCTGAGATCCTCCACTTCCAGTTTAATAACAAAATAAAGAACCGCAGCATGAAAGCAGCCAGTCTGAGCCTGAGTGTTGCTGATTAAAGTTGTGCATCTATAAATAGGCAGATTAGGAGAAAGCAGGCAGTGAAATGAAGGAAATGAAGTCCAGCTGTGCTTATGAAAGCAGACAGGATGCATTACACAACTCTGATCTGAATTCTCTTTCGTAATATAAAAGACTGGATAATCCTTATTTCTTAATATTGTAAAATGTGGACATTAAATCTGTTTACAGATCCACGGACAAACTCTTTCTTTGTTTTTGTGATTTATTTCAAGCTCCACCTCAAAATGAAAAGTGATATTGTTTCTATCCTCATAAATCACAAAAATAAAGAAATTATCGTCCATTACGATAAAAAACACCTCAAGAAATATCCAGAAATAACACATCATGTTGAGTTAAAGTAAAGGTGAGTTTCAGGTAACGCTAAACTATTTTTTTTTTGCCTCCTCCAGTTCAGACCTGCTAATGCCATCTACACACACATCTTCCTGCCATCTTGAACTGCCATCAGCTGAAAGCAATTGTGTGTTCCCAAACCCAGTACTACCATACGATAGAGTACGCCAGAAAAAGATTTAGTATCCCCCAATAGGCAGGCAAGGCAGCTTCATTTGTACAGCACGTTTTATACAGCAGGGCAATTCAAAGTGCTTTATAGAGCAATAGAATATCAAACACAACAAAGGATACAGATTTAAGGTAAAAGAGCAAAGAGGACACAAAAGGTATAAAAGGTCAAATTAGTAATAAATGATTTACAATTTAAAAAATCATCTATAAAAATTGATCTCAGCGCAGAGATGAAAATACATGAATAAAGTTGCAGTGCAGAATAAAGACTACAGTGCAGTGTAAGACTATTTAACTATTTGATTTAATAAAAGGCAGCAGCAAAAGTTTTCAGCCTTGATTTATAGCAGTGTGAGTTGGTGCAGAGCTGCATAAAAACTAAACGCTGCTTCTCCATGTTGGGACACAACGCAGACCTGTCCCTGAAGACCTGAGAGGTCTGGATGGCTCATACTGGAGCAGAAAAATGCCAAAAGTACCAGGATGTTCGACCACATCAGGTCCGATTTTGCAGCATGTACGCCAGCATGCTTTACTGTCTGTTCTGACCCACAATCTGACACGTCACGTCAGCTGAGCCACAGACAGGTGACAGCTTGACAGTTGTCAGTAGCTGCAATGACAGATGACATGACAGCACATTCAAGTAACTGATGACCAGTCGAACAGTAATAATAACTGTATGTTCAGACCAGAAGCTTCCAAAGAGGCAAAGTCTGTCGCAGACACGCCCAAGAATCACAACTGTCAAAAATATTTGTGGCAGCTCTGGTTGCTAATCACGTGAATCATTGAACATTAGCACAAGTAATCACAGTGTGCTGTAGGAACCAAAGATACATGGCCTGTTCTCTGGGACCCGCTTCATCAAAGCACGTCAGCGTTCCGATTGGTTCCCGCCGGACCGCGTCAGAGCTCATTACCATAAAGTTAAACTCCCCTCCAGAGCCGCTCCGGTCTCTTTGCTCGCCCAAGACGTGCAGTTGACGACCAGGTCGCCCAAGTCGCCCAAGTCACCGGGCTCTCATTGAAAATGAACGACTTCCGCCGCTTTGGAAGCTCTGTTGCTGTTGGTCTGAACATACAGTCAGAATATTAATTGATTAAGTGAACAAAAAATAAAAATATAACAAACAACAAAAGGACAGAACAATCAAAAAAACAATGGCAGAGAACTGTGATGTCATTTTACTGTTACAAACATGTTTGAATCTACAATCTGTGCAGGTATAACTTTAAATTTAAACCACAAACATCACAAGGCAGCAACAGCAGAACTGAAAAACTGAACTGGAAACACTGTAAACTCAACAATGTTTAAATTTCAGGTTTGAGCTTCCAGGTTATTTTACTGAAAGATATGATAAGGTTGATATAAAGAAACATATATAAGTTAAAATAAAGACACATAACCAATCTGGAATGATAATGATAATAATGACACAAATAAATAACCTGTGGACAAAACAAAATGGAAACTGCAGCTGTATCAATATGACAATATGAAATTTTTGCACAAACTTCACATCAATAACTATAAGATGCAACAACTCAACTACTCAACTCTCGTCACCCGTTCTGGAGTTTTCCCATGATGCCCTGGCACTGAGTGTGCGGGGGGGGGGACACTCCCCCTGACTTTATTATAATTAATCATTACAAGAAAACATTACAAGAAAACCTTGTCCCTTATCTCCTGACAACACTTTATTTACTGGTCTGTATTCACTGTTCTTGTTGTTCTGTTAGTGTTTCATATTGTCTTGCAATTAAAAAAAGAAAGGATAAAGTTTTCGACACGATCACATTCAGTTAAAAACACTCTGGTTCAGGTTTTAAACAGTTTTATTATTGTCATCGTGATGTCAACTTAAGCAATAAACACATAACGAAAAACTGCGATGCTGCGTTCAGAGACAATGCGCAATCTTCCTATGGGCCATGTAGGTGGCTAAATTGCACCTTTTTTGATATAAAAAATTGCACATAAAAGAAAAATGATCCAAAGATAAAACATAAATTAAAAAATTGAGTAAAAATATGGT